ATTATAGCTGTGCTAATCATCCCTTTTTTGTTGCTAAAATTAATGGGATAGTGAGATTCAGCAGAAGACCTGTAGCTGTTTACAGGAATGTTCTAAATTGTGTACGTAACAGTTAAGTTTATCTCCCAGGCTCCCTTTAGTGTCAGTGGAGGGAAATGGGCAGTTTCAGGGTGCATTTCATCTCCTACAGTTGGTAACAAAATGGAGCAGTTTATATCTTTTTTGGTATAGTTCAAGATATTGTTAAACCTCATCAAACTCTTTTAAATCTTGTATGTCTAACCTCATTGAGTTTAGCAGCACTGCACTGCTGGCTGACACACATTTTCTGAAGTGCAAGCAGGCTAGGATGATGCTCCAGCTAATGGCAATTTACAAATGTGTCTAATAGCTGAAAGACAGTGACCTCAGCTCTCATTCAGCAACTGTTCAATATCTAAGTCCTGAGGATTCATTTCACTGCTGTGATTTTTTTTTTTTTTAATTTTTTTTACTCACAGGGAACTCTCTCTTGCTGTACATAAGAGGGAATAAAAATCTTGAAAAGACAGAGCTATTAATGATTAATGATAGGTACTTAAAATTCAAAAAATCACTAAGATGAAAACGTGTTTCCAAAGTCAAATTTTATTTCAAGCATACTTACTTCTTTGCAAGATTTATTAGTTGGTGGTAAAGTGCAGTTAATGCTGACCAGTAATGAACCTTAAGCTTACTGGCTTTGTTACTTTGTTTGTTAAGATTATTACTGTTTTTATTCTAATCTTCTAATTTTATGTGATCTTCTTCACATCTTCTAATTTATGCTAATAGTTCACAAAAAAAAAAAAACAACAAACCAAACCAAAACAAAAAAAGCTGCTCACTGGTGAGAGAAGGAAAAGGGAAATAAAAAAAGATTACTGATATGCTAAAGTTAGTAGTGATAGGACCGAGTGGCTAGTTAAACTGAAGATGTGAGTTGTTTAAGCCCATTAAGCTGCGTGACTGTATTGCATGGTTACTTCTGTGAGTGTAACTCATTATCAGTTATGTTCAAAATTACTGGTGATTTCTTTCTTGGGTCTTTTTTTTGTGTGAGTTTTGCTCATTTTGCTGTCTACTACTCTGCTCCCAAATCATGCTTCCAGCTGAAAGGCTGCGTAAAGGAAGATGGCACTCAAAGTGACCAGTTGATACTATACATTGACAAATGCAGCAAGCAAATGGATTTGAGAGCTCAGTAAGGAAGATTCCACTGACCTTTTGTCCTTAATTTGGACAGAATGTCATAGAAGAGAAGGCATATTGGCTGAGAGTGCATGCTGTGTTCAGATTCTTTACTGGAAGGGCAAATTGATCTCAGTTTTCTTTGCTGTTCTTAGTGTGTTACCTGTGTGGTTTGGATCCCTGCACTGGACCCACCGAACACATCCGGAGTCATAATTGCTGAAGAATAGTAGTTGGGGGTTGGCTTTTTCTTTTTTTCTTCCTTTTTTTTTTTTTTTTTTTTTTTTTTTTTTTTTTCCCCCAGTATATTGGAGACTGGAAGTGGTTCACCAATTGAGTGAAATAAATGACATACAATGTTAGCTGCTTTCGGCTCTTCTGAAATTGCTCACACCTGCTCCATCAGGAAGCAGCAGTCTGTTCTGTAGTAATGGTTGGCAGATATGTCATACAGATATTCCCTCTTTGAAGTGCTGCCGCAATTACGGCTTTTGGACAGCTAGTTCTGACGTAACTGCTCTGTCTTCTTTGATCCTCTTGGAAGAGGAAATCTTTAGAGACTGATTTTAAATCAACTTGGAGATGTGCCCAAAAAGATCCAGGAAAAGAACAGAGTATGCTTGACTGACAATTTTGGCTTGAATCTGTGTTGCAGACTTAGCCTTTCTACTCATTTATAAGCTGTTGTTTTATTTGTGTTTTTTTTGTCCCCTCCTTTTTTTCTTCTGTTATTTTTTTTCCCCCAAACATATGGAATCATTTTCTGATGTCTGTGACTGTGGATAATAGACAAAATGAATTGCTGGTAGTTTCAGCTGCAGCCCAGGATGCACTAAGATTATGACCAGTCCTTACTAAAAAACTGGATATTATTTCAAATCCAGACGTTGTAGTTAAAGTGCCACGCTATAAATGTTTATCTTCAAATAACATTAAAGTTTTTAATACATCAGCTTAAAAATAAAAATAAGGCTTTTATGAATTTCTCTGCGTAACAGTTTCAAAGAGTTCAAGAACGTCACTCACTGGAAGTAGAGAGTTTATCAGATCATGGGTTAATAGAAGGGGAGTGGCCTAACCATAGGTTAGGAAGAATAGGAAAAAAATCATCAGTGAACATTCATACATAAATGCTTCCAGCCCTTCCCAGAGGATGTGACAGCTGTCGTGTGACAACTCATTCAAATGTAGTTATACAATCCTTTGCTTTTTTCCTTTTGTCCCCCAAAGAACTGAAGTTTTTTTGACTGTGATACATAACATATAAATACAATGCAAATGTTGAGTAAATTGTATTTAATTTTGAAAATTTAGACTGATAAATTTAGAATGGGAAATATAGGAGCAAGAGACCTTACACAGGTCTCTTTCAAAAAGCAAATTTACATCTCAAGGGTCCAGTAGAACCTGAAGTATAAATGCAGAATGTATTTAGGGAGTTTTTAAAACACACATTACTGAATTGATAGAGCATAACAGTTCCTTTGCTTAGGCAGCATTATGCTCTGTCTTGTAAAATGTACTTGGGGACATGTAAAATGGTTTATTAAACATACAGACCATGACTAGGGTTGTTACATTCTAATGTATATATTTTTTGTTCATGGGTTATTGAACCACTAAATCCTAGTACTTTTTCCTTGTGCCAAACAATGTCTGAGTGTTGTTTGGAGTGTCTTCAAGCAACTGTATTACTGTACAATAAAAATAAATAACCTGAATATTCCGTTGCATAAGCCTTTTTTCTTGAAATTTAGGCGTGGCTTTCTGTTTAGGCAGTGTTTCCCCTCCTTTTATTTCATGCTGGAGATATTTTGGCAGGAGCTATAAAGCTGTGGTGGCTTAAGGTGCATCCAGTGATTTCAGGGGTGTTTGGTTTGGACTGTTATTTACCTTCCCTTCTCTTCCACTGTTATTAGAAATAACTCTAGGGAAGAAGCTGAGCTACAGGGAGCTGAAAAGTAGGAAAATTGCTTCTCTTCTCTGGCTTTTCCATGGCCTCAAATCAGCGACACTCACCGAAAATAAAATCTCTCTATTGATCTGAAGAATCTCATTGCAAAGTTGTACCTACAGCTCTCCTACCCATATCTAGGATTTGTTATTCATCTCATGCCTGAAGAGGAAGAAGAACTGAGAATGTTAATGGATGTATAATGCTGTGGTCTGGCCTTTATGTTTTTTTCAACAACAAAATATCTGTCTGGTGGTGCTGATAATATCTCTCGCTGGTGTTGATTTTATAGTTGTTATCAATGAAATAACTTTCCTCAAAGCAACAACCCCATAGTTTTTGTGAAATGACACACTGAGGTGCAAAATGACACACAAAAGTTGCCTTTACTTCTTTTCTACCTAGAAAAAGCTGACGATTTTAGACAGTAATAGAGCAGATTTTGAAAGGGAATGATATGTGCTCTAAATGCGCATAATTGTGTTGTTGGAGAACAGAATCTGTTCTCTGTAAAGAGATAAAGATGTTTCAAATATTTTCTGAAAGAAAGGGAATTTATACAAGACAACTTTTGTAAGGAGATTTTATCTTGTTTTTTCATGGTGGGTCTTTGTTATGTTAGGAATACTGATTTGTGTGAGATATAACCTTTAACTTGCTTTATCTCTGATCCTCCCTTTTTTCTGTTCTCTCTGATTGCTATTATTCCAGTAGTTCAGATTGTTTATTCTCAGGCTTCTCCACGAGTAGAAAATTTCTTAAATAAATGTATAGCCAAGATACGTAAGAATTGTTTTTTTTTTCTGACTGAGAAATGATTTTGCCACCCCTTAGGCTATAAACTGCTTTTTTTCAGGTTGTAGGAATCTGTGCTGCCTATAAAAGCAGGGTTAGTGACCAGAATGTTAATAGCATACATTTAAAAATAAATAAATAAATAAACACTGTGTAGGATGCAAGTGTTCCACTGAAATCATCTCCCATAGCATCTAATGAAACAGTGACTTGTTATCAAGAACTTTAAATGTGGTTCTCAAAACAATCAGTTTAGAATTGATATCAGATTAGGAACTCTTGTTATTGCTTCATTGAAGGCTATTTTATATTTTGTAGAATGTACATTAAGCACCTATTATTAACAGAGGTTATAAAGAAGATAAGAGTGCTAATTTATTTTTAAAATGTATTTCAATTATTTACTGGGTATATTGCCTATTTTTTTTGTTCGTTTGTTTCCAGAAAGACTACTGAAATGAAGGACTACAAACCTTCATTGGAACCTTTTTCCTTCTCTGAATTTATATTGTATTGAGACTACATACATATATATGGTTGTGTATTTTTTTATCAGATAGCTTTTGGTATTTGGTATCCAGAAAGAAAATGGAAAAGCATGCATATAGGTATGTGTATAGACAAAACAAGAATAAGGAAATAATCTACATTTTACTCATTGAGTTGAAGTGTGTGTTTGTAACAATCAGACATTAATAATGTGACCTTCTTACCTTCTGTAGTACTACTAGGCGTCCCTCCTTTAAAAAAATCTCTTCCTGTCAAGGCAAGAATCACAAAAGAAGTTGTTACGCTTACACGTCAACAATCGTGACATCTAGAGCAAAGCAGAATGCATTATTTCTTACTAAGAGTGTTATTTAAGACTTGACTGACGTTTTACAAAATCTGAGCTGCTTTCTGATCAGTTGATTTAATTAAAACAAGATATTCAGTTTTGCAGAGTGCATGTGCATAATCTCTTTTAATCCTTTTGAACACATACATGCATAGAGGGAAAAGATACTATATAGTCATGCATTACTTGTCGTTTTATTTCCAGATACCTCAAATCAGCTATGCATCTACAGCTCCAGAACTGAGTGATAACACCAGGTATGACTTCTTCTCTCGAGTGGTCCCACCTGACTCCTACCAAGCGCAGGCCATGGTTGACATCGTGACAGCCCTTGGGTGGAACTATGTGTCAACACTGGCTTCCGAAGGAAACTACGGAGAGAGCGGCGTAGAGGCATTCACCCAGATCTCCAGGGAAATCGGTAAGTGTATGCTTGTTGGGTTTTGGATTTACACCTGGCAGATCATCACTGAGCTCTGCTTGGTTCTGTGCAGGATGATCAGAACATCTGTAGGTGTGTGCTGCGGACTCAAGTGGAGGGGGTTACAGATGATTTTGCTATTTGTCAGTCTGCCAAGGTGACAGTTCTAGTACTAATTTAACAACAGCTTGAGGGAGGCAAAAATGCGTGCCTCGTACCCCTTTTGGAAAAGAGAAGCTTCTTGATAGAGTTGGCAAGTGTGATAGGTCTCGCTATAGTCACGAGGTTAATTTATACTAACAAACTATTAACTGAGGCAGAAAGCAACCGCCGAATGTATTAGAGCCAGATTAGAGGAAGTGCAATTGAGTTAGCTTAGGAAAATCGTATTCCAATGAGACCTCATTTTCCTTGTTCCATCATGGATACATCTCAAGTTTTTATTTTTGGTGAATTGGAGGAATAAGAAGAAGTCTGTGAAGTGCAAACATGTGCTCTCATTGTTTTTTCTTCAGGATGAAATGTGCTGTGTAAATACAGGCATTATTATGAGAATTATTTTTAAATTCTTTTGATCTTTTTTTTTTTTTTTTTTTTTTTTCCTCACTACTGTAGTTATTTCTGGCCTGTAAAATTGATTATTTCTCTGGAGCAGTAGGTTCTGGACACCAAGGAATAAAGATGACAAGTAGCAGATGGTTTGATAGAAGGATAAATTGGTCTTCCACTAGCTAAAATGTTAAATGGCAAAATAGTATCCTTTTTAAAAAAACACAGTAATTTGGAAGCAGCCTTCTTGTCCTTCATAGCCTGGGTTAATTTACTGAGTTTGATTTTCAGGGCATGTACTTATGAACTCTGTCTCTTTCAAGTCAGTTTGGGTGAGAAAATATTCCATCTCAATCATATGGATAACATCTCAATCATATGGAAAGCTGTATGTGCATTTCAGGTACTTACACTTGAACCATAAAATTTGCTGATTGACTGCAACTTGGCAGTAAGACGAAAATGCAGCAATTCATGCCACTTAGGGAAGTCATGTGTGTAACATACTGGATCAGTTAACCAATAAATATTCTGCTTCTACTTTCAAATCAGTACTGTTAGATCCTAGGTATCTTTATGGGTGAGCTAAACTACGCTGCAGTGGTTTGACTTGGGGGTTAGCAAAGGCATGGGGAATTTGTCCACACTTCACATCAGAAAGACAAGGTTCATCTGTTGTGTCAAATACTGCTGTGACTAGGTTGGTTCTTCCAGAAATACACAGAGTAGTTCATTGGCTGAAAAAATCTAATATATAGAATATATATAGCTATGTAATAGCTTTTTAGCTGTAGAAGAAATACTTAGGGTCATGTTTTTTAATTTAGTAGTGTTTTTAAACTGTTGCATACAGCATTCTCCCAAGTAAATTTGGGAACAGTGATTAGGTGAAAATATTATACACTGGATGCAGGCCTACTTAGAAAACTGCTCAGAGAGTAATTATTAGTGGCTTCTGTTTTAAAGGAAGAATGCATTGAGTGGTATTTGGCTTGGGTTTTTACTGGATCAGATACTAGCCTATATTTTCATGTTTAGTTCAGATGGACTTGGAATGAAGGATGTACTTGCAAAATCTGGAGATAACTTCAAGCTGGGAAATACTAGGAATGTGTTAGAAGAGAGAGAGTATGAAACTGTGGTCTTTAAAAATAGCATAGATTTAAAAGACAAATGCAAGTCACTGTGCTTCAGCAACAAGTGTCTGTACAATGAGGAAAGGCAAAAGATTGCTTAGACAATGCTATCTCAAAAATGATCTAAATGTGATAGGAAATTATAGCCTGCCTATATTTCTCCTTTCATACTGAGACACGCAGACAAGAGTATCATCTTTAAAATAATTTGAGTAATCACCTAATTTGCCTAGCAATTATGAAACTTCATTTTGACACGATACAGGTTTTAACCCTCACTTCACAATGGGTGAGAGAATCCACAAGTGAGAACAAGGCCTAGATCTTGAAAATGTGGTCACTACAGAACAGCTGAGTGACATGGTTTGTTAGTCTGAAGAAGAGCTGATTAGGTAGATGATGGAAAATGTTTTCAAACAGACAAATGGCTTTTACGAAAAGGTAGAGGAACACGCATTCAACCAAAGCCAGTGTGTCTGAAGAGAAATAATGGAACTAATCTCCAGCATTAGAGATCAGTTTAGATTTAGTTCAGTTTAGATTTGAAGAAAGCCCCTTTTAATGGTTAAGATATTAAAGCATTAGACCAGATGGCTTGGGGTTGTTTTGGAGCCTCCATCACTGAGAATCTAGGAGAATGCATTAGACAAACACCTGCCCAAGGATTATATAAGTGTACTTAGCTTTTCCTTGAGGCTGGGAGGTGGATTGGATGATTTTTTAATGTTTCTTTCAGCCTAATTCTATTGTTCACTGTCCTCTGACTTTTCACCTAAACCACAGGGCTGGAAACACTTTTAAAATGGAAAGTTCAAGTAGCATCTAATTACAAGGCCTGAGATTATACAGTGTAAGTAGGTAGGTTTATAAAAATCATCATGTGATACACAACTGGACAGAAAATGGGAAAACATACCAGCTCCATGTTAATAAAATGTTTGTTAAGAAACTAATAAGGACATTGCTCTCCTTGTGTTGTTGGCATACAAATGCGTAGAACAGCTTTATGAATTCTTTACATCCTTTTGAAGGTAAGTAACCAACAACTGGAATAGAAATAAATATAAAGATAAGCAAATCAATAAATCAATAAATTTGAGGAAGGTGTGTGAAAGTAATTCACTTGTGAAAAAAGTTCAGTGCCTGTAAGGATGTGAGAGATAGCAGTTTTGAAATTATAGATGTGCAGACGTGCATACTCTTTTTTTCTTTTCTTTTTCCATTTTTTTTTCTCTCCAAGCTGTTAAGTAGAAATAATAGGTAAAAATATTTCCAGAATAGAAAATAATTTCACATACGTATTTCAAGCACTTGTTTGTCATGATCTTGAGTCTTTACATCTAACATATAGTTTGATGGGTTTTCTGTTCAACTATTTCTTGATCAGTAGCAGAAGCAAAATGGAACAGGTTCCCAAATGAAATGTGGAGTATTGAAAAGGTCAAAGTGGTACCACTGTGACATGTCTCAGAATATATTACCTATCAAAGTCTGTCCTCATTTTAATGACAAAAATCCTGTCTGGGACAAAGGATAGCTGGAAATTAAGTAATTTACATGGCAAAAATTGCAAGGAGGACAATGATTATAGTATTTTTTACTCCCATTACAACGTTGATCAATTATATTACTATAATCATTTTGGGATCATAATCAAATCATTTTGGTACATTGACTAAAGGAGTGGATTGATATGGTAATGCTTTAGAGCTAAGCACCAAGTGGAGAGAAACTGGCTCACTGAAAAGAGGAAGGAATAGAAGCAAGGATGTCTTACCAAGTCCTCAATTAAACTATCAAGCTGAGTACTGTTCTATTTACTTTGCTGTTAATGACATTTGACAAAATAGATGTTGAGAAGTTTCTAATCGTACATTCTTTTAATAGTTCATTCTCCCTGCTGTTATGAACCAAATGAATCTACCTACCATCAGAGATAAAGTCATGGCCCTCTTTTATTCAGAAAAATCTGTTTGAGATCAGATTGCTCACCTGGCTAGTGCAGTGGTTGTACTGAAAAATGGAAGAAATCCTCAAACAGTATATGAAATGCTACATGAGAGATTTTATCCCTATGAGTGGTCAATAAAAAACTGACACAAGTGCTGTTGTTCAGTTGTGGTGGAACACTTACAAAATCTTATTGGAAGAGTAGGTAAAGATGATAAAGCAAGGGAACTGTAGCTGCTCGTTAAGAATAGATTACGAAATTTAGCATTGCTTGCCTGTTTTATCTTGTCTGTTTGTATTGCACCTCTTGCCAGAGGTGTACAAACTGTAGCAAAGAGAATTTTGGACCACATCTTAGTCTGAGGAAAAATGACAGCTTTGTTGCAGCTTTGCCTCAGAAGGAAACTGTGTACTTCATATCAAAATACACTCTTGCTTGCTTGCTTTTTAGAAACATAATTTTGTATTTTTACCTACCTTTCATCCTGATATATTGCAGTTAATAGCATTTTTCTGAGGGGGACAACAGTTTATGGTCCCTGGTAATATTTTACCATTATAATCACACTGATAACTATATACTTAATTTAAAGAAATGCATTTACTAAATGAATGTGACAGGAGCTTTATTGAAATTGTTCCAGATTTCAGCATATCTAGCTGTGTTTTATTTACATGAAGAGCTGTCTGTGAAAATGTTTGTCTTCAGTGAGGTTCTTAGGTCACCTTGTCTCTGTTGTTTTGTGTGTGTCTACAGTTGTTCAGTATATCTCTACAAAAAACTTGTGATTACTTCAAACATTTAATATCTTTTTTACTTCTAAGGTTTCAGTGGATAAATTGAAAGTTTACCGGCAAGTGAGGAGGGAGGGATGTACAAGAAAATAAACCTCTGAATTGTATAACCTCTCCTCTCCACTTAGATGATTCATTGATAAATTAGAAATAAGCAAGATTGATTGTTATTTAGATTAATTCAATTCAAGTATGTAGCAGTAATCTTTTTTATGCTTCTGGTATCAAGCTAAAGCTTTTTATATCTTATTAGGTAAGCTGATGAATAGACTCATTTTTCTGCCCTCCCTCTTTTCCCCTCCACCCAAATGGTGTTTAAGAGGGGAAATCTTGCAGCACAAAGACTAAAGAAGTACAATACATAAAATGTAACCTTTTTTCCCAGAGGTATTTCTGCTTCAAATGCTGAATTCACGCTTAGCTAATTTTCCCACCTAATAGCATTCCAATATGGTCTTACAAAGAGGAAACAGTTTAATTCAATTTTAAGTTTTCCTTTTATGTTTATGCAGCTGAACTCTATTGATAACACTTTATTTCAAGCTGCAAGTTGTAATTAATAATAACACT